TTGACACACTTATGCAGCATATGGGAATCTTTATTCAGGAAACGTTTCGCCACACAGTGGCTTCATCAGTCCAATACAAAGAGGAAGACGTAATGAGAGGAGGAGTATGAGGTAATCAGTCCCTCAGCCTGGAGTCGATGGGTTCAGTCCATCAATCTTGTAGAATGTACAGCATAGGGCCGTAGACATGGCTTATATACTGTAGTGAGGTGAGGTGAAGCAGGCGGAGGCGGGGTCATAGTGGTACCATCCACTAGTCGAAGTAGGTCTTCGTCCAAGGTTGAACAAGTGTTGAAGAATTCTTTGTAACAAGATCCCATGATGCTGCAGTGTCTGACAGTTGTGATGAATGGTTTGAAAAACCGACAAGTTGAAGATTGACACACTTATGCAGCATATGGGAATATTTATTCATATTCAGGTAACGTTTCGCCACACAGTGGCTTCATCAGTCCAATACAAAGAGGAAGGCGTAATGAGAGGAGGAGTATGGCTGAGGGACTGATTACCTCATACTCCTCCTCTCATTACGCCTTCCTCTTTGTATTGGACTGATGAAGCCACTGTGTGGCGAAACGTTTCCTGAATAAAGATTCCCATATGCTGCATAAGTGTGTCAATCTTCAACTTGTCGGTTTTTCAAACCATTCATCACCTTAATTATTATTATTATTATTATTATTATTATTATTATTATTATTGTTATTGTTGTTGTTGTTGTTGTTGTTGTTAATTTAGGGAACTGGAGCACAGATCCAATTCCCTAGATCAAGAGCCCCTCACCAGCATCAAGGAACCTTGACACTGGTGAGGGGCTCTTGATCTAGGAAATTGGACCTGTGCTCTAGTTACTTATGTTATTAATAATAATAACACTAATAATAATAATTATTATTATTTTTATTATAATAACGAACGCCGGCAACTCATTGCACTGTTTACCTCGCTGTGGGAGCAGTTCTCTCCTGCTTTGCTTACATTTTTAACAGTCATTTGGCCAAATTTCTCTTTTCTAAGCATGGGTCCTGAGAAAGTAAGTGTAAAGGACAATGCTGAGAAGAAAAAGAGAACGATTTCCATGGAATTAAAGCATGAAATCATAGGTAAACAAGCGAGTTGTCCAGGTTTTGGGTTGAGGAGGAAGGGGGGGGGAGCTGGCTCATAACTCAAATGTTGGCTCAAAACTCGGAGCAAAAAATCGACCCAGGAACGGCTTGTATCTCAAAAAACTCGTACGTCGGGACACTCGTAAGTCGAGGTTCCACTGTATCTTTAATTCTGTAAGAATTTTTTTTTTCTTTCAAAAATTCTTGGGCCCTGGCTGTCACTCTGAGATTTGGCCTCTGAACCCTGAAAGGGTTAATCTACACTGATGATGAGGATGAGAGTGAAGATGAAGAGAATGACAATGTGGCTCCTATTGTCAACTCAAGAAAGGTAGTGGTTCCCAAACTAAAGTGGCAAGCAAAGAACTATCATTCCAGGATTGACTGGAAGACTGACCTCAAAACTGAGCCTCCTTTCACTGCTTCTCTATTAGATCAACAGGTTCTGAAAATTATTGAGACTTCACTGGAAGTGCCCAAGTGGCGAAGCAACACTCACGCTGTTGAGAGAGGGATAACATTGATGACTGAAGCTTGCACTGAAGTGACTGGACAGAAGGCAAGAGATGGATATATCAGGCAAAGAATATTTTCCAGGAAAGTGATGCCCAAGTTCTGCACCAAGAAAATTTCTCTTATAACTTGTAATAGTTTAAAATTAAATAGTTGATGATTGATATAACCCATGTACATTTGATTATACAATCTTCACAACCAAAAATGATATAAACCATGTACACTTGATTTTTATCTACGCAACCAGTAATTTATAACTACAGTGAACCCTCGGTTATCGGTTGTTATTTCGGAGATCAGTTGTATTGAATGTGTAATACATCACTCTTGAGCACATTAAATGTTTTATTTTAGGTTAATATAGACATTTTCATTAATCCATCTATGATATTTTCTTCAAAATTATATATGAAACAAGTTACATAGTATATAAAAAAAAGGCAGTGTTTATATGCGATGTATGTTTAATAATAATCACTGGTGGTCACATTGTCGTATTTTAGTTTAATATAGACATTTTCTTTAGCCCATCTATGATATTTTCTTCAAAATTATATAAGAAACATTTTACATAGTATATAGGATATGAACATAGCATATAAACATGCATATTTTTATGCCATTGAGTGGAGAGTTGGGTGGAGAGTAAACATGACGTTTTCTCAATTCAGCATTAGAAAAAACTGTGACTCTGGTGTCTCGCCCAGTAACTGCCCTTCATATGCATTTGTTTACAGTTCCCAGCATGAATTATTCATTACTCCTCCCTTTGTTTATGATAGCATCTAAAGGTAGTTGTTAGAAATTATTAAACTCAGTGAACATGGTAATAATATGACTGTAGTGTAATAATATGGCTGTGTAGTGTAGCCCAGGGGGGCTATACTACACAGGGGAGAGGGAGTTGAGGAGGAAATCCTCTCCCCTCCTGCCTTCTTCAATATGCCAACAAGAATCTTTAGTAAAGGGATGTAATGTTCATTTATCATTAAAATTTGTACTTTATAGTTATTTCTCATTGTTTTCTGCTTGTAAAACTATAGTTAATCTTTAAAAAATGTATTTTTTGTCAATATTTTTGGGTGTCTGAAATGGATTAATTGGATTCACATTAATTCTTATGGGAAATAATATTTCAGGTTTCGTCCTTTTCGGATTTAGGCCGACCTTCTGGAATGGATTACGACTGATAACCGAGGGTCCACTGTAATTGCTTTCAATAGTGTATAATTTGACGAAAAGTTGATCGCAATGCTGCAGGGTAAATTGGCATGAAATGGTCTGAAATTTTGCACAGAAGTTTGTTGTGACCATACAAATAATGCCTGAAAAGTGCAGCTTGCATCTCTAAAATTTGTATTTTTTCAATGCTCCCTAGTGTGTGTGTGATGGAGATGTTGCATGCCTATAGCCTAAATGAGGCAAAGATATGAGCTTGTGATGTAAGTAACTCAGGTTGTGGCCCCTTGAAAAGAATGACAAAGAGGTCAGAATAGCTATAGAAGACAGAATAGTTGTTGAATGAGTTGATGAGCAAAAAGACAAAAAGAAAAAGGTGCAATGTTTAATTTTATTTGGATAAAAAGTCTTACAGTATTATAACACAGTGTGTGATGAGAAAGGAATCCTTGAACAAGAGTTCTTGTTTAGTACAGGGGGGTTCCACAAGTTCAAATTGCACAGTTGGTTGCATAATATTAAGTTATCCAGTGAAAATGCTTCTGCTGAGCACAGTGCTGCAGGGAATTTCCATGCTGAGTGTCAGAAAATTGTTTCTGAGGGTGACTACAAGCCAAGATGTCAACAAGAACTAGCATAAGCAAGCAAGAGAAAAGCAGAGGATCACTTCAGCTTCCCCCTTTGTGGAAATGCATTAGGCAGTTTTTGGTGTAAGCTTATGGTTATTTACCACTCCAAGACTTTCTGTGCTTTAAAAGGTAAAGATAAAAACCACCTTTCCATCTTTTTGGAGGTCAAACCAGTTATCATGGATGAAAAAGGAATTATTTATCGACTAGTTTAAGCATCACTTTATTCCTGAAGTCATATTTTTCCTGTGCAACAAGAACCTTGCATTCGAGATTCTCTTTGCTGTTGATAATTCTTATACTCATCCAGATTCTTTGGTGGATGTGCATCCACATGTAAAGGTTGTATTTTTACCATGAAATTCAACCATTGGATCATGGAACTATTAGGACATGAAAGTGTACCTACACGTGAAAAGTGGTGCAGAAACTTGTCGAAGCAATGGATGGTGACTGAGCTTGCAGTGCCAGAGTTTTAGCATAAATTTAACGTTGCAGATACCATCAGCTACTTAAAAAGTATATGGAATGAAGTACCCTGATCAACATTAAATGCATGCTGGGGGAAATTATGGCCTAGTATGGTGAATGCTTTCAAAGATTTTTTTCTCAGTTAAGAGCCAGGTTTAGGAAATTGTTAGCTGGCAAGGAGAAGGCTTTGAAGATATGCATGTGAAGACTTTGAAGGTATACAGGTTAAGGCTTTGAAGATATACAAGAAAATGTAAATGAACTGTTAGCAGATGTTAATGAACAAAGAAGGCCAGATGAATTCCCAAATACAAGGGAGATAGATAACAGAGGAAGATGAAGAAGAAAAATGGTTAACACTGCAACAGTTGCATAAGCAGTTCTATATTATTGGTAAAGGTTCAAGTTTTTTCTCTGTAAAGAACTCTGACAAATCTAGAAGCACTGCTCAAAAATGGAGTCTAGTGCAACCAATGATGCCTTATCATCAGCTGTATTAAGTATTGCATTACAGAATTTCTCATTACTCCTGTACAACCATTGATTTCAATGTTAGAGCCTCAACCACCCACCTCAGTTAACAGTCCACAACCCTCCACCTCAGCTAATGATCCACAATCTTCCACCTCAGCCCATTAGGGCCACACCATCCCTCCACTCCCATTAAAACCATTGACATTTATCAGCAACCAGAATTTAAAGTAAGTAATATTTATGTAATCTTTGAAACTGTAAATCTTATATTAAATATAACACATTACTGCAGCCACATACAATTACATTATTATCATTTTTTTTTTTTACTCTCTTGAGACCTATACAAAATTTGATGGCTTTTTTGGGGTCCAATAAATGTAACCTTATTTTCCTAATATGTTCATCAGTTCAGTTCATCTGTATTTTTTATTACATGCCATTTTCAGAAAGGTAACTACCAATGGCCATCAAGTATTGTATACCGATATGAGTGACTGGCTTTCCCATGAACATTTTGGTGCAATGTGCCCATTTTTGGTATAACAGTTATTTTTGAATTTCAGATAATGAAAGAGTGAGAAAAGGACCTCTATAGTAACTACGATGTTACTTGTCATTTTAGGTTAGCCCAACGGAATGTCTCCTTCGGTATCTAGAATTGCCTGAAGATGAGGATGTGAGTGTGGATTTGGAACAAGCTGCAGTAATATTACTCTGTCATTTAGATCGTCTGGTAGCTCCTCACACTCCCCCACTTCATACACCACATGGCAGACCCACCCAGGGCCAGGAGGTAAAGTTACATTAATTAGTTTCATCCCAATTTTTCATTTGTAGCAGTAGAGATAGTTTTGCTTGAGCAACTTATAGCTTTGTCATCCTGACAGATATTTTGCGTTGAAATAAGATTAAAGCTTATTAAAGCAATTTAGACTCAATTTTATCATATTTTTCATTACAGGTATTGTCTTGGGGCTGGCTAGCCTGGTCTGGAGTGTCCAGCCATTCTCGGCCTCTCAACTACTGTGACTCTTTAGCTGAGTTGGGTATCAAATCATTGGCGTGTGCTGAACGCTGCCTCCTTATTCTCACACAGAAGGGTACTATGTATAGCTTGTACTACAACTCTGAGGCCCCATGTCCCCAGGCTGTCCCAGGGCAACCAGAGGAGGAGATTGTTAAGATTGCTGCCCACCCTGATGGGAAGCATTACTTAGCTCTCACTGCTGGTGGCCAGGTAAGTTCATTAGTTGTCTGTGAATACCGAGACAATTTGTAACTATCATGCAACAAGAAAAGACTTTTTGTTGAATCCATGAACTGGCTATAACATTGTGTGCAATCCATATAGCTGCCCAGTTAAACATTTTGGCAACTAGGCATGATTGGCCTTAACCCTTTCAGGGTTTCGTCCATACTAGTACGGCTTACACACCAGGGTTTTTGATCTACTAGTACGCCTAAATTCTAGCGCCCTCAAATCTAGTGAGAGAGCTGGTAGGCCTACATATGAAAGAATAGGTCTATGTGGTCAGTGTGCACAGTATAAGAAAAATCCTGCAGCACAGTGCGTAATGAGAAAAAAAAAAACTTCGACCATGTTTTTGGATTAAAACAGCGACTTTACACTGTATTTTCGTATGGTATTTATTGTTGTATTCTAGTTTTCCTGGTCTCATTTTATAGAATGGAAGACATATACAGAAATTGAGATGATTTTGACTGGTTTTACAATGAAAAGTACCTTGAAATTGAGCTCAAAGTAGCAGAAATGTTCGATTTTTACCAAAGTTCAAAAGTAAACAAATCATGCTAAGCATCCAATACACGTCAACTGGTGAGTCTCATTCTTTCACAAGTGCGCCGATATTATTTATACCATTTCTACACTAATGCAGTAGTCTGCATAACAGTAAATCTTCTATTTTTTTGTGAGAATAAAAATTCAAAGTGGAAAGTAAAAGAATGTAAGAGGGGCGTGGGAATGTGACTAATGAACAGAGGAAATGTTATTTTAGAGCCAGGAATGTTTTTCTTGTTTATTCTGGACCCTATTTGGAAATTGGCATCTTTTGAAATTTGTGTGAAATTGGCAAAATTGCTAAATTCTGACCACTGTATTGGATAGTTGGAATCAGTAAATGGGTGGTTTCTTGTACTAATTCGATAGAAAAAATGGAGTTCTAACGAAATAGTTATGATTTTTGTCGACTAGTGATAAGCCTATAGAGGCAGGTGCCAGAAGTCGCCAGAATCTTACCACAGTGGTCAGCTGTTTTAATAATCTTCCTGGCCTGCTAGTGTACTCGCATATAATCTAGTGATACCAGTGAATAGCAGAATACAGTGCTGTAGTAGCAACTAACCAGTATTATAATGGTACTTAGTGGAGTGGAGTGGCTTTCATTAGTTTCTTTTTTCTTGAAATACCAGACGTATACTGTGAATTTCATATAACCTGTAGTTACCAGCGGTCGCAATATACACAACGCGAAGCGATTATTACTACAGAAAAAGCGTCCTTCCTCCAAATTTCCACCAGTCAACTATAGTGATAATATAGCATTTATTGTGGTGGAGACGAAAAAAAACTAGAAAAGATAGATACAGCGATTGATAAACAAGGGTTGAGGCTCGACTGTTCGTCATTGTAGGAGCTGCCAGAAATCACCGGTTTCTTCAACACGCAAGTTATACTTTTGTATCAATTAAATCACATATTACTTGGGTAGATAATTTCCAGTAGATCCTTCATGTGTTAGCCCAAATCACCGACCAGTATGTTCTAAATAAGTGACCCACTGATCATATCAGATCGACTGGTCCGAACCCTCGACTGGTCCGAACCCTTGACTGGTCCGAACCCTTGACTGGTCCGAACCCTTGACTGGTTTCAAACGGATTCGTTGGACAATAAAGCAGACTGTAAACGGATGGGGTTGTAGGCGCCCTTATCAAACACAAACAATAAATATAAATCAGGAACATACACGGTAAACTGTCCAATATACAAGTACAGTTAGAAATAGAAATACAAATAGCTAGAGCTTCATTTAAGGGGGTTATTAATAGAATATTCAAGAGGTTGCTAGTAGAATTACAGTAAATCAACCATTCAAATCATTATGAAGCTCTGTGTAGTCTGCGGTCAATCAAACAAACGGGCTTCCACATGGATAAATTGTCATTTTTGTGGAAATTGGTGTCACGCCCCTTGTGCAGATATCCAAGAACTATCTACAAGCAGTATTAAAACAGGGAAGTGTTTTTGTGTATGCCCAAATGAGATAAATCTGTGGACTAAAATCACAAGGGTATTAAAAGAGGATAACATCAAAGCTGCTTTCATAGAAAACCTGGAAGCTTTTTACAACAGATGGGAACATAAAATGTCTGGGCTGAGTGGTACTGCCCTTGATACTGGCCATGTAGTCAGAAACTGTAAGGCTGGAGGTGATGTCCTGGTAGTCAGTAAATGTGGGGCTGATAGTGCTGTCCTGGGAGACAGTAATGGTGAAGCTGGAGGTGCTGTCCTGGGAGACAGTAATGGTGAAGCTGGAGGTGCTGTCCTGGGAGACAGTAATGGTGAAGCTGGAGATTTTGTCCAGGTAGTCGGGAATTATACGCAGGAAGGAATACATATAAATGACCTCATAGGGGACAGGAGCCGTAGTAGGGAAACAAGTGTAGTCAAAGATAAGATAAAACCAATATTGCAAACTAGAAATACCACAGGAAATAGCAAACAAGAGGACTCCACTAGCAATAGTGAGGATATATTACCAAAAACAACTGGTGGGAGCTCCATTGTTGGTGCTAGGGAGGATAGGAATAAGACAGGGAAACATGCACCAACAGGGAATACAGTCACAGAAACCCAAGGCAAACGGAAACCAAGCCTGTGCACATACTATGCACTTGGTATCTGCAGGCATGGGAAATCTGGAAAAACAGACGGGACGTGCAACTATGACCACCCTAGAAAATGCCATGCCCATATGACAACAGGAAAATGCAAACTCCCTTCCTGTAACCTTTTTCACCCTGAACTGTGTACCTCTTCAGTACAGGAAAGACTGTGCTTTAACTTAAATTGCCAGGCACACCATCTAAAGGGGACAAAAAGATACAAAACATCCAGGCCATGGGAAAACCTGGGTAGCCACAGCCACTCAAGAGGGAGAGGCTTTTTAGTGCCAGGAAGGAAAAAAAACTGGCAGGAAATGGCAGAAATCGTACACCAAATCCAGTCATTCCTGGACTGGAACCACAGTCGATGGCCTCCACTCCAAACCAACAGATACAGATACTAATGCGGGAAAAAAAATCCTCCCCCAGTACCAACAATACCATCAGTCCGATGACATTCTTCTTTGCAAATATACAGGGTCTAAAGCCAGCAACAAACAACAAAATACCTTTCATCCGTGGACTGCTTGCAGAGGCAAAGGCAATGTTTGCGGCTTTCACTGAGACCCACATGAAGGATCACTTGGACAACGAAATATGGATCCCAGGTTACAACCTATACAGATGTGACAGAGTGAACAGGAAAAAGGAAGGGGGGTTGGCCTGTACATTGCAGAGTCACTGGTTTGCACAGAACTGCTTAATGCCTCAAATGATGTAGTGGAAGTTTTAGCAGTAAAGGTCGAGAACCAAAACCTAGTCATTGTGGTAGTCTACAAGTCTCCGGATGCAACATCCCAGCAATTCCAGGAACAGCTGTTAAAAATTGACCACTGTCTGGAAAATCTTCCAGCTTCCTGCACCCAACATCTTGCTCCTGGGGGATTTCAACTTAAGGCACCTAAAATGGAGGAATATAGCAAATAATATTGTTGCAGTAATAACACCAGGAGGCAGCTCTGATGAAAACTCACACTCACACGAGCTTTTAAATCTCTGCACAAAATTAAATTTAAACCAGCAAATAATAGAGCCTACTAGACTGGAGAATACACTAGACCTCATCTTCACTAACAATGATGATCTGATAAATGTCACCATATCAAAAACAATAGACTCAGATCACAACATAATGGAGGTTCAGACATGTATGCGTGGAGCCCCAGACCGACATAATGAGACTAGTCACGAGGGAGCATTCACCAAATTCAACTTCAATAACAAAAACATAAAGTGGGACCAAGTAAACCAAGTCCTAACTGATATAAGTTGGGAAGATATACTAAGCAACACAGACCCCAACTTACGCCTAGAACAGATTAACTTGGTGGCGCTCGATGTATGCGCAAGGCTTATTCCTCTAAGAAAAAGGAGGAGTAGATGTAAAATAGAAAGAGACAGGCGCTCCCTTTATAGGCGACGGAAAAGAATAACAGAGCGGCTAAAAGAGGTCAATATATCTGAAATGCGTAGGGAGACACTGGTCAGAGAAATAGCAAGCATCGAACTTAAGCTAAAGGAATCTTATAGGAGTCAGGAATCGTGGGAAGAACTAAAAGCCTTAAATGAAATCGAAAGAAACCCAAAGTATTTCTTCTCCTATGCCAAATCAAAGTCGAGAACAACGTCCAGTATTGGGCCCCTACTTAAACAAGATGGGTCCTACACAGATTACAGCTAGGAAATGAGTGAGCTACTCAAGGCCCAATATGACTCAGTTTTTAGCAAGCCGCTAACCAGACTGAGAGTCGAAGATCAAAATTAATTTTTTATGAGAGAGCCACAAAATTTGATTAACGCAAGCCTATCTGATGTTATCCTGACGCCAGATGACTTCGAACAGGCGATAAATGACATGCCCATGCACTCTGCCCCAGGGCCAGACTCATGGAACTCCGTGTTCATCAAGAACTGCAAGAAGCCTCTATCACGAGCCTTTTCCATCCTATGGAGAGGGAGCATGGACACGGGGGTCGTCCCACAGTTACTAAAAAAACAGACATAGCCCCACTCCACAAAGGGGGCAGTAAAGCAACAGCAAAGAACTACAGACCAATAGCACTAACATCCCATATCATAAAAATCTTTGAAAGGGTCCTAAGAAGCAAAATCACCACCCATCTAGAAACCCATCAGTTACACAACCCAGGGCAACATGGGTTTAGAACAGGGCGCTCCTGTCTGTCTCAACTATTGGATCACTACGACAAGGTCCTAAATGCACTAGAAGACAAAAAGAATGCAGATGTAATATATACAGACTTTGCAAAAGCCTTCGACAAGTGTGTCCATGGCGTAATAGCGCACAAAATGCGTGCTAAAGGAATA